AGCAAGCCAGGAGCTGTTTGACTCTGCCGTGATGAGGTAGTCATCACTGCCTGGCTAATTAAGTGATACTGGTATGGTTTGAATCGGGTACATCCCCACACTCGTTTGCTATGAATGGCCTTTTGGGAAGTGATGGGGTCCTAAGGGTTCTGACTTCATAATCACGACGGAATTTGTCAGCATTTCTGGGAGGTGGCTGGAAAGTTACCAGGTGGAGCCTGGGTCCTCTGCTATATTCTCTCTCCTTGCCTTCCCCTCACCTCCACTCCTGGCTGCTCTGAGGCCGGCTGTTTTGTTCATGGCATGGTCTGTAGGCAGAGCCTTGTTTCAGGCCTTTGCAGCAGAAGCAGCTGACGGACATTTCTCAGAGCACGGGTTCAGATAAATCTCTTCTCCTTTAAAACTGTTTCTCACAATACAAAACAAAACAAAACAAAAAAACCAAAACAACAACAACAAAATACCCCACAGAACCTGAGTCTGGAGTGGTGGCACACGACTTTAATCCCAGCACTCAGGAGACAGAGGCAGGTGTTTACATATTGAGTTCCAGGACAGCCAGTGCCACACAGAGAATCCCTGAATCAAAACAAAAACAACAACAATAAAGCAAAACCGAGGCCCTGGAGAGGTGGCCCAGCGGTTAAGAACACATACTGCTCTTGGAAGGACCTGAGTTCCATTCCTAGCATCCATGCCAGGTGACCCATAACCACCTGTGACTCCGTTTTCAGGACGATTCCAGGCCTCTGGCCTCCTTGGGCACCTGCACTCATGTGCATATCCTACACAAAGACACATAACTAAAAAAAATAAAATCTAACAAATACCACCCCTAGGAAAAAACCCTAAACTGAAAAAAAATCTAATTGTTTTTCTCGGATATTTTCAACAGTGATAAAAAGTGTGATTAACAGATATGTCATATATATGTATATATCGTCTATTTATTTTTGAGACAGTCTTTATGTAATTCTGGCTGTTCTGGAACTCATTATAGAGAGCAGGCTGGCCTCAAACTCACAGATCCTCCTGCCTTTGACTCCCAACTTCTGGGATTAAAGGTGTGTGCCACTGTGCCCAGCTCTTGATATATATATGTAAAATTATTATATATTAATATATAACTATAGACACAAAATTATTAAAATATATGTATTTTATATTTATATGTATATATATTTAAGATTTATTTATTTTAAGTACTCTGGCTGTCTTGGAACTCTGTAGACCAGGTTGGCCTCAGACTCACAGAGATCTGCCTCTGTGAGATCTGCCTCTGTGGTCTCCTGAGTGCTGGGATTAAGACGCAGGCCACCACTGCCTGGCAGTTCTTGATATTTTAAAGTTTGCTTTTTTTTTTTTTTCTTCTTCCTTCTCCATTTCCTTTTTTCCTAAGGCTTCATGGATGATAGGTAGAGCCTCAACTCTTCAAGATCTCATGTAGCCCAGGCTACCCTTGAACTCCTCATCCTCCTATCATGTGATGGGACTACAGGTGTGCACCACTATATCTCACTTTAGAAAAGGTATTATGCCAGAAGAGGGCATTGGATCCACTGGAGCTGGAGTTAAAGATAACCGTGAGCTGCCACATGTGTGCTGGCATTGAACCTGGGTCCTCTAGAAGAGCAGCCACTGCTCTTTAAAAAGTTTTCTGACATGAGGTCTCATTCTGTAGTCCAGGCTGGCCTGGAACTCATGACCCTCCTGCTTCAGCCTCGGGGCTTGGATTGTAGGTGTGGGATACCACGCTGGGACTTTGTTAGTTTCTTGGATGAGTGCCGGGACAGCTCCTGTACCCTGTTTCTCCTTCAGTGCAGATAATGAATGGTTGACAAATGAGTCCTAAAATGCTCCCTGGACTGAAACTACACAATCCTACAGTGAGGGCGTGGCTTCTCTTTTCCCGAGTGCACAGACATCCTAGCCAGCCTTTCTTTGAGCATTTGCCTTATTTCCAACCCTCTGTTCTTGGCACCCCTTTCTGGATTTTACCCTCTGGGGTATGTTACTCGGGTCCCTCAGCTTTTCTCCAGGTGAATAGTTCCAAGCAGGTTTTCCAGATAAACACATCTTCAGATACTGTCTGTATCAGTCAGCAAGGACAGTGACTCATAGTCCTTCTGGCAGCTCAGCAGGCAAGACAGCTGTTCCTCTTCTGGGTTCCTTGACTTCTGAGATCCCTTCTCTGGTGTTTGCCAGGGGCTTTCCAAACCATAGTTTATCACATTTAAGTGTTGCATCCATCCAATGAGACAAAACCATTTGTTACCACCAATTTATAGAGAGGAGCACCAAGGTTCAGAGAGGGCAAGCAATCAGCTGAGGGGTGCACAGCCCTCAGGAAAGCTGTGATTAGCACACTGAGCCACCTGACATAGGGTCAGCCTTGAAATCTCTGCTAGTTTCAAAGAGCATCTGTCTTCCCTGGCCGGCTCTGCTGGCACTCCTCCCTGCATCCCAGATGTCTGCTCTCTACCCTCCACCTTCAGTCTCTCTTCCCTGCTGCCATGGCAACGACTCCTAACTTTGTGCTTTAGTTCAGTTCTGCCAGTGTTGGGTCCCCAAGTATCTCTTCAGAGGAGATGCCAGAACCCTAGCGTCCCAGTGAGTTTCTGTGGCCCAAGGCTGCAGAATAAGGACTTGACTGCCCTGGTCAAGTCCTCCCACCTGTCTCCTCTCCATCCTGTATAAAATGGTCATTAAACCCCACAGGGCTGGAAGACAAAAAGATAATTTTGAAAGCAGGGATACAGACAGATACTTGTGCCCCAGTATCCATAGCAACGTGATTTCCAATAGTCAAAGAGGGGGAGTAGCATGTGGTCATGGACAGAAGAATGTGCCCTGTGCAATGGAGTATTACCCAGTCCTGAAAAAGAAGCTATTCCGACACATTTGCAACACAGATGAGCTTTGGGACATTAAGTGAAATAAGTCGGACCTAAGGGTAAATATCATATGGTTCTACTATCCTAGTAAGTCAGCTCCTTCCTTCCTTCCTTCTTCCTTCCTTCCTTCCTTCCTTCCTTCCTTCCTTCCTTTCTTTCGAGACAGGGTTTCAGTCCTGGAACTCACTCTGTAGACCAGGCTAGCCTCGAACTCACAGATATTCACCTGTCTCTGCCTCCTTAGTGCTGGGATTAGATGGGCCTGATCATCCAATTTTAACTGTATTTCTCAAACCTCCCACATGCCTTCTCCTGTCTTCCTGATCCTTCCCCTCCTTACAAGCACCACAATTTCCATTCTTCAGGCTGCTGGCTAACGTCTACCCCTGCCTCTGGAATCTACCACGATGTTACTGATGTCCAACCTGACCTAGATCTGTCTTTTCTATTTCCTTGTGAGCCTAGCTGTTATGCGCATTCTTCCCGCCAGCCTGGTCCTAGAGCCTCGTCAGCCCCAAATGAACATGCAGATGCTATATTATATTACCATTGGCTTGGGCTTCTTATTGGCTAGCTCTGTCTTAATTACAACCCATTTCTATTAATGTAAGTATTTCCACATGGTCTTATCTTACCTGAGAAAGAGTCCGGACCTGTTACTCCTCTGGCATCCTACATGGTCATTGACTCTGCCTACATTTCCCAGAATCCTCCTCCTCTCCTAGTCCCACCTGTCTTGCTTCCCTATTGGCCAACAGTGCTTTATTCATCGACCAATAAGACAAACATATGTGCAGAAGGCCTTCCCCATCACCTACTCTTTAAGAGCTGAGTTGTCTCTCTAGCACCTGGCCTCTATCTTTCTATGTAAATGAGGATGACTGTGCTGGCTAGTTTTGTTTTTGTTTTTTTTTTTTTCAAGACAGGGTTTCTCTGTGTAGCTTTGGAGTCTATCCTGGCACTCGCTCTGGAGACCAGGCTGGCTGGGATTAAATGCATGCACCACCAATGCCCGGCTGTGCTGGCTAGTTTTAATTCAATTTGACACAAACTAAAGTCATATGAGAGGAGGGAACCTCGATTAGGAGAATTCCTGGGCAGTGGTGGTGCACGCCTTTGATCTAAGCACTTGGGAGGCAGAGGCAGGCAGATCTCTGTGCGTTCAAGGCCAGCCTGGTCTACAGAGTGAGTTCCAGGATAGACAAGGACACACAGAGAAACCCTGTCTCGAAAAACAAACAAACAACCCCCCCCCAAAAAAAAACCAAAAAGCAACAACAACAATGAAAAACTCCAAAAAAGAAAGAAAATTCCTCCATAAGAGCCCTCTGTAGGCAAGACTGTAGGGCATTTTCTTAATTAATAATTGATAAGGAAGGGCTCAGTGTACTATGGGTTCCATCCTTGGCCTGGTGGTTCTGGGTTCCATAAGAAAGCAGGTTGAGCAAGCCACAGGGAATAAGTCAGGAAGCAGCACTTCTCCATGGCCTTTGCTTTAGTTCCTGCCTCCAGGTTCCTATCCTGTTTGAGTTCCTGTCCTGATTTCCTTCAGTGATGAACAGTGATGTGGAAGTGTAAGTCAAATAAATCCCTTTGTCCCCAAGTTGCTTTGGTCATGGTGTTTCATTACAGCAATAGAAACCCTAACTAAGACAATGCCCTTGAACTTAAAAAAAAATACTTATTTGTAGGGGCTGGAGAGATAGGTTAGTGGTAGTGGTTAAGAACACTAGCTGGAGCCGGGCATTGGTGGTGCATGCCTTTAATCCAGCATTCGGGAGGCAGAGGCAGGCGGATCTCTGTGAGTTCGAGACCAGCCTGGTCTACAAGAACTAGTTTCAGGACAGCCTCCAAAGCCACAGAGGAAAAAAAAAAGAACACTGGCTGGTCTTCCAGAGGTCCTGAGCTCAATTCCCAGCAACCACATGGTGGCTCACAACCATCTGTAATGAGATCCGGTGCCCTCTTCTGCAAATGTGGGGATACATGCAGACAGAACACTATACATAATAAATAGATGAATCTTTAAGAATATTTATTTGTATTTATATTTATGTGCCTGAGTTTATGTGCACCACTGAGTTTATGTGTGCCATGTGTGTGCAGGTGCCTGCAGAGGCCAGAGCATGCCGGATTCCCAGGAACTGGAGTGACAGGTGATGGTAAACCATTTGAATTGGGTGCTGGGTACTCAACTCAGGTCCTCTGGAAGAGCAGCAGGCACTCGTGCATGGTAAGCAAGCTCTCTACCATCTGTGCTGTATCAATTCCAAATATTTCTACATCATTTGGTGTCACTTGTAGTAAGGTCTTGGTAAATGCCAGTCAAACGTGTGTGGCTCAAAGTGTATTATTTAGCTAAATACCCTGAAGTCTGTATGTAGGTAGGAATTCCTGGCCTCTTAGCTTTTATTCATTTCTTACTTCTTTTTAAAAAAATTAAAAATTATTTTCTTTTATTCTTCTCACATATATTACATCCTGGCCACAGTTTCCTCTCCCCTCCCCCCAGTCTCTCCCTCTTACTTCCCCTCTCCCCCAGATCCACCTCCTCCTCCATCTACCCTCAGGAAAGCTCAGGCCTCCCAGGGACGTCAACCAAACACGGCATAATATTCTACAATAAGACCAGGCACATAGCATCTTATCAAGGCTGGACGAGGCAACCCAGTAGGAGGAAAAGGGTCCCACCAGTAGGCAAAAGAGTCAGAGGCAGCCCCGCTTCCACTGTTAGGAGTCCCACAAGAGCACCAAGCTGCTGAGCCATTGCATATATGCAGAGGCTCTAGATCAGACCCCTCCAGGCTCCCTGATCTGTGTGAGCCCCCATGAGTCCCTGTCAACTGATTCTGTGGGCTGGGTTCTCATGGTGTCCCTGTCCCCTCTGGCTCCTCCCGTCCTTCCTCCCCCTCCTCTGTGTGATTTCCTGATGTATGACTAATGTTTGACTTGTGTGACTCTGCATCTGCTCCCATCAGTTGCTGGATGCAGTCTCTCTGGTCTCTTTGATGAGGAGTCTTCTAGGCTTCCATTCCACAACACTCTGCAGGCAGGACTAACTGTAGGTGGAAGGTTTTGTGGCTGGGTTGGTGTCCCAATACTTCCACGTGGGGTTTTTCTGGTTACAGAAGATGGGTGGTTCAGGCTCTGTGTCCCCCATCACTAGGAGTCTTTGCTAGGGTTACTCTTGTGGACTCCATGAAGTTTCTATAGCAAGATTTCTTGTTGGGTTATCTTGGATCACTGGTCCCCAAATAATGACATGGAGACTTGCTATTAATTATGAAAACTTGGTTTTTAGCTTGTTTCCAATTAGGTCTTATAACTTTTTTTTTTTTTCGAAACAGAGTTTCTCTGTGGCTTAGGTTGGACTGGAACTAGCTCTTGTAGACCAGGCTGGTCTCGAACTCACAGAGATCCACCTGCCTCTGCCTCCTGAGTGCTGAGATTAAAGGCGTGTGCCATCAACGCCCAGCTTAGGTCTTATAACTTAACCCATATTTTTAAATCTATGTTCTGCCAAGTGGCTCACTATCTCATTTACGTACTGTACATCCTGCCTCCTTTGCAACTTACTGGTGAATCAGCCTTTCTTCTCTCCAGAGTCATGTCTGCCCAGAATTCTTGCCTATTCTCTCCTGTCTACTATTGGCCAGTCAGCTCTTCATTACACCAATCACAGCAATATATCTTCACACAGTGTAAATAAATATTTCATAACATTTCCCCCTTTTTGTCTAAATAAAAATAAAACTATGTGCAATATGAACAATTATCAAGTAAGAATTACATTCACGATGCCCAGTCCATTTGTATTAGGCAAATTCAGAGAAAATACTCCATTATCTATCCTATCTTGATGAGTCCAAAGTTTCATACATAAACCACTTCCTATCATAACTTGTATTACCATCCTAAAAATATCTTTTTAGACCTTAAAACATTTTCTTAGATAAATACCTTAACCTTTTATGTTTCTCAACCTTATAAACATTACATCTCTTATGTAATTTTCTTGTTTGAATTTGGTAACAAGGAAAACTGTAAAACTATAACTATCTACTTTTCAACCCCATCAGAGACCTGAGAAGGATATAATATCACCTGAGTAAAAAGTAAGTACACAGCAAGCAACTTCCAAAACTATAGAAATGACTGAGACAGCTGGCCGCCTGGACAGTCACCCAAGGTTCATCTGCAATGTTGTGGCATCCATCTTCAGCCTATATGCCTAGAATATCTGACAGAATATTTTCTGTGAAGCAGGAATTTTGAAGGACTGTCCAACCTTGTCTTGGCAAAGTTCAGCAGCTGCCTTCCTTTGTGTCCTGCTTGTCCAATTTGGACAGCATCCTGTCAGCAGTTGAGGCAAGGTCAGGATCTACCAGTGGTTAACTTTGCCACAAAGAAAGCAAACTCCATATGGAGGTTCTTCAATGCCCATCACCCTTTTTTGAAGTAAATTGGTGCTGCCAGGAGCAGACATGTCTCATTGTCATGAAAAGTCTTATGTTATTAAAACATCTTAAATGCCATATTCTGTAGGCCTCTGAAGTGTTTTAAGACCACCTGTCTATCTAAAATATGTTTGACCTTGAAACATACTTACATGACTACAAGTTTGATTGTTATAGACGATTAACTACTAACCTACATTTCTTTTCTTTCTTTTTTCTTTTTTGTTTTTCAAGGCAAAGTTTCTCTGTATTGCTTTGGAGGCTGTCCTGGAACTCACTCTGGAGACCAGGGTGCCCTCAAACTCACAGAGATCTGCCTGCCTCTGCCTCCTGAGTAATGAGATTAAAGGTGTGTATCCCCACCCCCTTTATTTTAAAAATCTTTTTAGAAAAAGATTCCTGAACATAACCTCCTTTGCTTAGTTTCTTCCTTGACCATGACCAATAACAACTTGTAACCAACCCCTCGAATGGATGATAAACATCCATAACCCAGCAAATGACCAAAAACCACCCACCCCACATCTTGGAAATGTGGGCAATATGTTCTCTATACTATTTCCTGTTGCCTGGGGGTTATGACATCTTTAGGAGACCCTGGAAAAATTGGGATAATGATTAAGTCCTGATCATTTTTTGTTTAGTCTCTATGTGATGGACAAGTCTAGCAGCTTTGAAGTGTTTCTGGATGCAGAATTTTGAGGAAACTACAACAAATGCATTCTGAGAGGCTGGATCACCTGGGCTACTTGTCTTTCTCAATGTCTGTTCCTTTTGTTAAAAAAAAAACACACACACATGATTTTAAAGGTAACATACATAGCTGCACTAACACAAATATGGAATGTGCTGTGTGCACAAGTCAGCTAAAGATGATTTTCTGTTTTTGGTTTGAGCAGGTAAAAGGCATCTGTCAACTTTTTTTTTTTTTTTTTTTTTTTTTTTTTGAGACAGGGTTTCTCTGTGTAGCTTTGGAGCCTATCCTGGCACTTGCTCTGGAGCCCAGGCTGGCCCCGAACTCACAGAGATCCGACTGCCTCTGCCTCTGGAGTGCTGGGATTAAAGGTGTGTGCCACCAACGCCTGGCCGGTATTTGTCAACTTTATAGGTTTGTTTGAACTGTATAAACAAACTGTCATAAGGACTCTGTAGCCAACCAGATTTATCATGTCTCATCCAGTCTCAGAGCTGTTCCCATGTAGAGGGATCAGCATATACTTTGATTGTCTTGTAGTTTTTCTTTTTTTCTTTCTGGTTTGTTTTTATGTCTGTAGTCAAGATTTTCAGGAGGTCTCCTCCAATCAAATCTGGTCTTTTTTAAATTTGAAGGCTTTTTGTCTCCTGTAGAAACAAAAGCATAACCTCTCCCCCAATGCAACTCATTTCCTGACTTCCATTCTTAAGGCATCCCCAAAATATATAGTCTGGTTTAATTCAGCAGTTCTTTCCACAATCCAATGTCTCTCAGCATCTGTCGCTTTTTGTTCATTAGCGTTTATAATACAAAGTTAACAAAGCACTATGTGAGTTCCATATGACCTGTTTTATGGTATTTCCCATTCTTACATGGCTTATTCCTTTTTTATATTACTTTACTTTCTCTTTAAAGACTATTATTTTTAAACGTTTTTTTTTTTTTTGTTTGTTTTGTTTTTCGAGACAGGGTTTCTCTGTAGCTTTGGAGCCTATCCTGGCACTCACTCTGGAGACCAGGCTGGCCTCAAACTCAAAGAGATTCGCCTGCCTCTGCCTCTGGAGTGCTGGGATTAAAGGCATACGCCACCATCGCCTGGCTAAACTATTTTTTTTTTTCTATGACTATCTATACTCATTTTTGTAGCTGCCAGATGAAACAATTAACTAATTTGTTCTAGTGTAATAAAAACTCAGGAGTCAGAAATTGAGATAAAGACCTGAAAAATCCAAGGAAAGTGGAGGGATTGGCTGACCCTCTCTCCATATTCTCTGGAACCTCCAGCACCAGGAAATCCCCCAAATTCTTTTCCTGGCCTCTCTAGCCACCCTGCAAAGTCCTCCAAGAACTTTATGGCTTATCCCAGTCAGCCAATCTCTGATTCCATCCTAGAGTCAAGGTTGCTTTGTTGGCACAGTGGATTGAGTGTATGGACAATTCTCCTGTGCCAGGGTCCGGCTTGTATCAGTCCCATGCTACAGAGGCTATCTATTCAAGACTGAAGTTTTGGGGGCTGAGATTGGAGCCAGCCGAATGGCTCTGGGTCCATCCCTGAGTTGGGAGGGGGGAGGCTGCTAGACCGGGAAACTCCTAGCTACCCAAGACATCTTGTCATTTCAGGAGGGCTCTCAGTCCATGCTGGAAACTGGAGTCTCCGGTTTATTCAAGCATCCTCTTAAGTAGCTTTCCAACAGTGGGGGTGACTGCAGGAGACATCTACTATCATGTTTAAAGCAGATATCAAAAAATTCTTTTAACCCTAGTGGCACACCTAAATCCTTAGGCACATAAACAAAAACCTCAGAACAGGTTCGGGCACACCCAAGGCCTAGGTCTGTTGTTATGTTAACGAGGAGACCTTCTCCACTGAGGCCAAGCCATGTGGCAGTAATTAGCTGGACGTCTGAAAGACAATGGGAGATTCAGGCTCCTGGAAATAGAGCGGAGGTTTGGACCCCAAACTTTATAATTGGTAGTTTTTGGGCCCCGACACTCCTGCAACACAGTTTCTTTTCTTTCTTCAGCATCTAAGCACATTTTTAAGCACACGATAACCCGTTCAGAAATTTTCTCAGCCTGGACCTGAATTTCTGTGCATCTGCATTCTTTTCTGCCTGTGTGAGCCAAACTTTAACCTGCTAGGCCAGCTTCCCTGTGGCTAGCTTACCAGGGTGGCTGGCTACACCTGCTTTGTGTCCTCAGGCAGCAATGAGAGCAGTGCCTAACTGTCCTTGCTCTGGTTACTGCTGTAGCAGGTGCTTGAGCCTAGTGCCAAGTATCATACCAAGTATCATGCTTGTTGCTCAAGTCCTCAGCTGCACAGCAGGGCCTCTTAAAGGAACTGCAGCTCTACCCTACAAGTTATCCAGCCTTATGTTGTTAGACCCTCAGAAAAACTCAGGTATCCGGGGTCCCAGGCCACGACCGCGGTCACCCCAATCACCAGGCAGATTCGAGAGCTTGCTGCAAGCTGCATGAGGCTTTATTGTAATTTAACGAGCTAATCCCATGTTAGCTTGGGTCTTTTGTCCCCCCACCATGGTGGATGGCTACAAAAGACAGTTTGAACCGGCTGCCCAGAGATCTTGTAGGGCATCGTAAGGGGAATGTCTAGGGGTATGCACAGGCTCACGATTGGTGTGCCTCCAAGCTTGGAGGGCTTGCCCTGTGTTGATTGGTCAACTGGTTGTTATGGCCCATAGGCCCTCCCAGGGTGGTTGCTATGCTCTGTGCGTCATTGCTGTGTGCTTGTCCGTAAAGTACACCCAGGGTCGTAAAGCATAGTGCCACCAGCTTACTTCTGATTGGTTCCTTGTCACGAGGCAGGCGCCTACCCTCTAGTGACTAAGACAAGGTCATAGCGAGCACGTGCTACTGTCATGGCTGCCAAAATGGGGAGCTAGTCCCTTCAATGTGAATATACATGGTCCCATGTTGGGCACCATTAATAGTAGTACTTTCTCACAGAGACCGCCAGCCCACAAATAATGATGTGGAGACTTATTATTAATTACAGAATCTTGGCTTTAGCTTAGGCTTGTTTCCAACTAGCTTTTATAACTTAATCAACCCATATTTTTAAATCTACATCCTGCCATGTAGCTTGTTACCTCATCTCCGTACTGCACATTCTGCCTCCCCTGCAGCTCCCTGGCAAATCTGCGTTTCTTCTTCCCAGTCCTCTCTGCCTGGAAGTCCTGCCTATTCTCTCCTGCCTACCCATTGGCCATTCAGCTCTTCAATACACCAATCACAGCAATACATCTTCACACCGTGTAAACAAATATTCTGCAACAAATTTCCATTGCACTAGGTTTCCACCTTGCCCCTCAAATGCCCCCCAATCCAATAGCTCCTCCCAGTATTTTCTACTCCCCCAAACTAGATCCTTGCTATTCCCAGCCCTAGTTGCCCCATAATTTCTTATTTCCTGGTGCCCCAAAGACCTCTTCCCCGGTATGTTCTGCCAGGAGTAAAACCCTGGTCTCCCTGCTGCTCAACAGGCTCAATCCTCACAGTTGCCCCTCCTGTCTCCCCCATTGGCTGGGTGACTCTGAGACAATGGCTGCTTGTCTTTCCACCCTTCTCTGTCTCTCATTCTCTCCTCTCTTAAGGACTCTGGTCACACTTCATATTCTTTCTTTTGAAGGGACCAGCTCCCCATTTCAGCAGCCATAACAGCCTAACATGTGCTTGCCTGACCTTGACTTGGTCACTAGGAGGTCAGATGCCGGCCTCGTGGCAAGGAACCAATCAGAAGTTAGCTGGTGGTGCTATGCTTTACGGCTCTGGGTGTACTTTCCAGACAAGTGCACAGCAGTGACATGCAGAGCATAGCAATCGCCCTGGGAGGGACTATGGGCCATAACAACCAGTTGACCAATCAACACAGGGCAAACCCTCCAAACCAGGAGCCACACCAATCCTGAGCCTGTGCGTACCCGTAGACACTCCCCTTACACTGCCCTATAAGATCTCTATGCTGTGGCTTCTTGGTGTCTTTCCCAGCCACCCGCCATGGTGGATGGATGAAAGGCCCAAGCTAACATGGGGTTAGCTCGTTAAA